TGCTGAACCTACGGCAGCAGCACGTTGCACACCTGCCTGTTTCCCCCGCTGCTGGCCTCGTACCTGGGAAATAACGTCTGTGGAGCCTACTTAGGGCAAATACTCAGGAAATTCAGCCTTGAGGTTTGCACTTTTGGGGAAGAAATTGCAGCATGGGAGGTTTTTTTGCAAAACTTAAGACAGAATCTGGAATCAGACGCGCCTTTATCAGAGCCCTGTCTCCTAGTCCCGTGAGGTTTCCTCCAGATTTGCTATCACACGGGTACATCAGCTTCCCCGTCTGCTCCGGACACGTGCATTTTCTTGGACTTGCAGGCAGATGAATCTCAGATTTATGTATCCGACGGAAGATTTTTGTTGTTCTCCCTTTCTGCTGCCCAGCGCAGGGCTGAGGAGGGTGGCCCTTGGCTATCGACCCTCTGCTTTGCGAAGGTGCGGCATATTGAGCTGCTTGAGTTGATGAATTACCCCAGTAAATTAAGAGGCTGGGGAGGAAGGAGAAATGTGAACGCTAAATTTCTTCTTCTCCAACAGCAGGGAAAATAATGATGCAGCGAGAGAGGACCTGTAGCCGAGACACTGCCCGGCGTTATTACACTGATAATTCACGGTGAAAACCAAGAGGAAATTAAGGGCTCTGGGACAAAAGGTCCGACGCTTCCTTAATGTACTAACTTTTTCTTTTGAGGAGCTGCAGGCTTCCACCTTGACTGGTTAATAGCCCCTGCGGATCCAGTTCTGTTGGATCCAAGCAGACCTTCATCTTTTTCAAGCTCCCTGGGGCTATTTTATCCTATCCTACCCTACCCTATCCTCTCCTAGCCTAGCCCAGTCTATTTTTGCTTCCCTGTGATAACTGTGGAGCACTTGAGCCCTCGTTTCTCTCTAGAGGAGCCCTGGATGAAGGACTTTTTATTCCTTCCTGACGCAGAGAGCCCAATATCTTCTTGGTAGGAAGATCCAAAGCCCTGCTGAAGCAGCTGCCCTCAACCCCATGGAGGTTATTTGAAAGCAAAGCGGTCAAAAAGAAGCATTAAATCTGGGAGCCGAGATTTAGGCTCCGGGGAGACGATGGTTTAGGGCCAAAATCATCTCAATGGAAAATGCTGGGTCGGTGCATCGCGCTCAGACCCGAATTAAAGCTTTCAGTGGAAACCTGGGGAGAATATTTAACTCTGCAGAGCCGGAGTTGGCCTCCAGCTGTACCGTCGTGCTGCATTAGGGCTGCTCGTTCGGTCTGAGTTTTGCAGAATGAGAGGAGGCATGGTAAAGGATTTCTACTTCTCCGAGCGCTTTTATTCTCTGTTCTGCAAGGGAGAGGCTTAACTGCGGCTTTTTCTCTCTATGATAAGAAGAACGGGAGGCGTTTTCATCACTTTGGTACGTCTGTTCAAAGCTGGGAACCTCTGGCACCTGAAAAGTCGGCTCCTTTCTTCCGATCCAGAGGTTTAAATCGAGTTGGAAGATGAGCTGGGCCAGCCGAAAACCAGGCTGCCAGCATCTCCGACTGCCAGGGGGGCAGGGAGGTGCCCCCCCCCCCATCCCCCCCCCCCAAGGACTATTTTTTTCTTTCAAGCGCTTGAGCAAATTGGGCATTTCTGAAACCCCCACAGGGGGCTCGCTCCCGGGAAAAGGTGGCGAGACGCGATCCGTCACTTGTCTGACTCACCGACTGTGTCAGTTTTAAATGCCACCTGGTTTGATAAGCTCCACTTAGCACGCTGGGGGCTTTTTTTTTTTTTTTTTTTCCCCCCTTATCTATTTCTGTACCTTCCTTACAGGCTTGTAAATGCAGAGAAGGACAAATTCCGAGTAAGAAATTTTCTTTAATACAAATATCCCTTGTACTTTTTTACATAAGCCCGCACAAAAATGAAGAATTTGAATAAGATGCGGCTGCCTGTAATCCCCCGGATTAACAAATGGTGACACCTGCAGTGCTTGGGGTAATCTGACAAAGTGCTTAAATTGTCTGTTCTTTGGGATGACGACTTCTTTCAATCCTCTTTTGCATTTCTAAGCTCCATTTACTGCTTTATGATTTCTGTAACAGCCCCCCCTTTCGCTGCGTTTCTGCCTGAGCTGGAGCGTGTTGGGCCGCTGGTGCTGGCCTTTGGCTCAGCCGGGGATGGGGCGATGGGAGGAAGGTGAAACCTCATCTTCTGCTCCGTATTTTGGGGGTGAGCTCCATACTCTCTGCAGAGACCGACATGGGACCGATTCCTAATTTAATAAAGGGGCACAGAGGGCACCGAGCAGCGTGTAGCTGATCTCCCTGTTACCCAGTGAAGGACGTGTGGGAATGGGTCAAAGCTGCGCCAAGGGAGATTTAGGCTGGATATTAGGAAACGTTTCTTTACCAAGAGGGCGGTCAAACACTGGAAGAGGTCTCCTAGGGAGGTGGTCGATGCCCCAAACCTGTCAGTGTTTAAGAGGCATTTGGGCAATGCCCTTAATGACATGCCTTAACTTTTGGTCAGCCCTGAAGTGGTCAGACGGCTGGACTGGATGATCCTTGTAGGTCCCTTCCGTCAGAGAATATTCTCCTCTCCTCTTCTCTTCTCTTCTCTTCTCTTCTCTTCTCTTCTCTTCTCTTCTCTTCTCTTCTCTTCTCTTCTCTTCTCTTCTCTTCTCTTCTCTTCTCTTCTCTTCTCTTCTCTTCTCTTCTCTTCTCTTCTCTTCTCTTCTCTTCTCTTCTCTTCTCTTCTCTTCTCTTCTCTTCTCTTCTCTTCTCTTCTCTTCTCTTCTCTTCTCTTCTCTTCTCTTCTCTTCTCTTCTCTTCTCTTCTCCTCTCTTCTCTTCTCCTCTCTTCTCTCTTCTCCTCTCTTCTCTCTTCTCTCTTCTCTTCTCTTCTCTTCTCTTCTCTTCTCTTCTCTTCTCTTCTCTTCTCTTCTCTTCTCTTCTCTTCTCTTCTCTTCTCTTCTCTTCTCTTCTCTTCTCTTCTCTTCTCTTCTCTTCTCTTCTCTTCTCTTCTCTTCTCTTCTCTTCTCTTCTCTTCTCTTCTCTTCTCTTCTCTTCTCTTCTCTTCTCTTCTCTTCTCTTCTCTTCTCTTCTCTTCTCTTCTCTTCTCTTCTCTTCTCTTCTCTTCTCTTCTCTTCTCTTCTCTTCTCTTCTCTTCTCTTCTCCTCTCTTCTCTTCTCCTCTCTTCTCTCTTCTCCTCTCTTCTCTCTTCTCTCTTCTCTTCTCTTCTCTTCTCTTCTCTTCTCTTCTCTTCTCTTCTCTTCTCTTCTCTTCTCTTCTCTTCTCTTCTCTTCTCTTCTCTTCTCTTCTCTTCTCTTCTCTTCTCTTCTCTTCTCTTCTCTTCTCTTCTCTTCTCTTCTCTTCTCTTCTCTTCTCTTCTCTTCTCTTCTCTTCTCTTCTCTTCTCTTCTCTTCTCTTCTCTTCTCTTCTCTCCTCTCCTCTCCTCTCCTCTCCTCTCCTCTCCTCTCCTCTCCTCTCCTCTCCTCTCCTCTCCTCTCCTCTCCTCTCCTCTCCTCTCCTCTCCTCTCCTATTCCATTCCATCCTATTCTATTCTATCCTATCCTATTCCATCCCATTCCATCCCATCCTATCCTATTCCATCCCATTCCATCCCATCCTATCCTATTCCATTCCATTTTAGGGAGGGGATTGTCCCCCTCTGCTCCGCTCTGGGGAGACCCCCCTGCAGTGCCGGGGCCAGCTCGGGGGCCCCCAACAGCAGAAGGACCCGGAGCTGCTCGAGCGGGGCCAGAGGAGGCCACGGAGATGCTGGGGGGGCTGGAGCAGCTCCCCTGGGGGGCCGGGCTGAGAGAGTTGGGGGGGTTCAGCCTGGAGAAGAGAAGGCTCTGGGGAGCCCTTTGAGCGGCCTCCCAGGGCTTAAAGGGGGGGACAGGAAAGGTGGGGAAAGACTCTGGATCAGGGGTTGTAGGGATAGGATGAGGGGTAATGGTTTTAAACTGAAAGAGGATAGATTTAGATTAGATATTAGAAAGAAATTCTTCACTATGAGGGTGGTGAGACACTGGCCCAGGGGTACTCAGAGAAGCTGTGGCTGCCCCCTCCCTGGAAGGGTTCAAGGCCAGGTTGGACGGGGCTGGGAGCCCCCTGGGCTGGGGGAAGGGGGCCCTGCCCAGGGCAGGGGGGTTGGAACTGGATGATCTTTAATGTCCCTCCCAACCCAAACCCTTCTAGGATTCTATCCTATTCTAATTCCCCTGCACGGAGCCCAGGACACGGCCAGGTCTGCTCAGTCCTCGCCGGCCCCGTCCCTCCCGCCGTTGGGTTTCAGGGTCGCTGCAGCCGGAGGTTATCCCTGAGCCGAGCTGTGCCGGGGCGGGCGGCTGGGGGAAGGTGCTGGAGGTGGGACGCGCGTGCCGGAGATCCGGCGCCTTTGCCCGCATGTTGAAATCGAAACGGTGGGGAGGGGTGTCGGCGGGGGCCCGGCGCCGGTGGGGGTTCCGTGCCGGGGAGCAGCGATGCTCCGACTCGAGGGCGTTGAAGCCATCATCTTTAAGTCTCGCCACAGCGAATGCTGCCGGGCTTGGTTGTCTGGGCAGCTGCGGGGTGGTCTCGCAGTAGTTCTTTGCCAGGTTGGTGCCTCCGGTTGGGCGCCGTCCCCCCCCTGGGCTCTCGCCTCCCCCCCAGCCCTTCCCTGCCAACGTCGTGCCGAACACACCGCAGCCCCCCGGCTCTGCGCCTCGAGGAGCTCGGACCGTAAAATACAGAGGGCTTGGGGTGGAAGCCGTGAGCCGGGGCCAAGGCTGGAGTGCTGTGACCTGGGTGTCTAGCTGGCTTGCAGTCTTGCTGAATTCCCCTTTGCAAATATTCTATTTAGTGCAAATAGTGCTGCGGGACTCGGCGTCGGCAGGGGAGGAAGCAAGAGTTGCTGTCCTCCCCCAAGCCGCTCCTTTTCCCCCGTCCTGCCTCCCCAGATGCTGCGAGCGCTCGCCGCAAGCGTTGGGTCGTAGAATGGTGGGGGGTTGGAAGGGACCTCCCAAGGTCATCTCCTTGAAGTCTTTCTCTGTTTCTTCTCCTTCAGGCTGGAATGGGTGGAAATCATCGAGCCTCGCACCCGGGAGCGCATGTACGCCAACCTCATCACGGGGGAGTGCGTGTGGGACCCCCCCGCCGGCGTGCGGATCAAACGCACCAATGAAAACCAGTGGTGGGAGCTCTTCGACCCCAACACCTCCCGCTTCTACTACTACAATGCCACCACGCAGAGGACGGTGTGGCACCGGCCGCAAAACTGCGATATCATCCCTCTGGCCAAGCTGCAGACCCTGAAGCAGAACACGGAGTCGCCGAGGGCTTCCACGGAGAACAGCCCCGGGAGGAGCAGCAACGTCAGCAGGGAAGGCAGCACCAGTTCCTCCCTGGAGCAGGAACTGGAGGGCAGCGAGAAGGTGCAGGAGCCGAGGTCGAGCCGTCAGTCCACCCAATACGCCGTCGTGAAAGAAGAAACGGAAAGGTAAAAGCAAGGCTGGCTCTGCCGGCCCGCCAGCCGAGCTCGGCGATGGGTTGGTGAGATCAGACTGGGAGTTGAGATGCCCCGATGGTCTCCCGGCGCGGGGGGAAGAGCAGAGAGCAGCGCCCTTGTCCTGCAGCTCTTCCCCTCTCTTGTGCAGAAATAATTGGCGGACGGCTTTTCTACCTAAATTGCTTGTGGGTCTCTGCACCGAGGCTTAGAGAGTGGGTTCGCTCCTCCGTAAAACAATCGCTTACAGGGGGAAGAGGTGAAGGCGTCGGTGAAAGGTGTTTCTCCTTGTTAGGGGCAACTTCAGTGTTCCCTGTGGAAAGGTGCCTGAGAGAAATAATTCCTTGTCCTCTGAAATGCGCGGTTTTAGAGAGCGGCGTGATTTTAAATGATTTCCCTGGATAAGATCTCCCTCGGGCGGCAGCATGATTCACGCTGCAAGCGTGGGTTGTGTCCCCCCATCTCCCCGCCCCGGCCTGTGGAGCTCCTGGCAGAGATCCTTTCTCTTGTAAATGAAGCTTCAAACCGAACAGCGAGTCAGGGCTCGGTTTCCGAGGCCCAGCTGCGCGTGGACGACGCGCGGAGACGTCCGCGCCGCCGCTCCCCGTGCTTCGGTTCGGGCTTTTGCAGCTCGCGAGCTGCAAATCGGGCGGCTCCGTTTGCCTCGCCGTGTCTGCGTCCTCTTAAGCGACGGCTCTCGCACCGGTAACGACCCACCGGCGCGGCTGGCCAGCAGTCGGCAGCGCGATTCCTGCTCGCGACTCGCTCGGCAGCCCCCCCCAAAAAAATACCAAGCCCTGACCTTTGGTAGGACAAGGGGCGATGGGTTTAAAGCGAAGGAGGGGAGATTCAGACTAGATCTAAGGAAAACATTTTTACCCCGAGGGTGGTGAAACACTGGCTCGGGTTGCCCAGAGAGGCGGTTGATGCCCCCGTCCCTTGGAAACAGTGGCGGTCGGGTTGAACACAGCTCTGAGCAACCTGCTCTCACTGCAGATGTCCCCGCTCGTGGCAGGGGGGTTGGGACTAGATGACCTTCCAAGGTCCCTCCCAACCCAAAGCGTTCCATGATTCTACGACCTGCTGCAGGCAGCAGCCTGCTGTGCTTTGCCTGTCACCCCTACTCCTACCTTGTGGCCTCAAGTAACGCCGTCTGCCGGAGACCGCTTGTGCAGGCTGCGTCCAGCAGCGCGTGAATCCTCAGCTGTGGGGCAGACAAAGTCCCCCCCCAGGAGTGGGAATGCTTTGTCAAGTGAGACCACCAGCACCCAGAATAGCCAGAAGCCTCCTGCCCACCCCACAGCTTGCTTCGGTTGACTGTAGCTGGGATGGAAACTATATTTCTCCCTCCCCTTTGCGCTGGGCAACCTCCGGGTTGCTCGATTCCTCCTTCTTCCATCCAGCTCAATGCTGCTGAGCTGCAGGTGGTTTCTTGCCTTCTCCAGGTGCCCCGTCCCAGCACGTGTCCTTCTTGGACACGTTCTTGGTGTGCAGACCAGAATCACTGGGTTTGTTTCGAGGATTGCTGTTGCCGTTTCATAACGTGCTCCCTTCAGGGGAGCACTCTGTGTTGCAGCAGCCTGGGCTCAAGGACTTCATTTTTTTTCCTCAGGTATTTACTCCCGCAGCTCCATTTTTTACACAGTGACCACCTGGGATGGCCTTTCCACCTCTCTCCCTGGTGGGGACAGCCAACAGCTGGTCTCACAGCTGGCAAACTGCTCAGCGCTCGTAGCCCTTGAGCTGAGCTGGTCCCAGTTGTCCGTGGGAACACTGTTTTCTCCTTCAATTTTTTTTTTTTTTTGCAGTCCCCATCGCTAAGTCTTCTCCAGACCTCACAGCAGCTCCAGGAGGAGCCTGGAGGTCGGTGAAAGGCATGGTCCTCAGTGCTCCCGTGGGTGCTCGCAGCCCGTTGCACCCGCTCCAGAGCTTTGTGAATCAGAGAATCATAGAATCACAGAGTGGGTTGGGTCGGGAGGGACCTTTGAAGGTCACCCGGTCCAACCCCCCCTGCCACGGGCAGGGACAGCTTCAACCAGCCCAGGTTGCTCGGAGCCCCGTCTAACCTGGCCTTGAAAATTTCCAAGAATGGGGCATCTACCACCTCTCTGGGCAACCTGGTGTGGTGTTTCACCACCCACGTGATAAAAAATGTATTCCTTAGATCTCATCTAAATCTGCCCTTTTTCAGTTGAAATCCGTCCCCCCTCGTCCCATCCCCACCCCCTGATCCAGAGTCCCCCCCCACCTTCCCTGTCCCCCCTTTAAGCCCCGGGAGGCCGCTCGAAGGTCCCCCCGGAGCCTTCCCTTCCCCAGGCTGAACCCCCCCAGCTCTCTCAGCCTTTCTCCACAGCAGAGCTGCTCCAGCCCTCGGACCATTTCCGTGTCCCTCCTCTGGCCCCGCTCCAACAGGTCCGTGTCTGGCCCGTGCTGGGGACCCCCGAGCTGGCTGCAGGGCTCCGGGGGGGCTCCCCAGAGCGGAGCAGAGGGGGAGAATCCCCTCCCCGGACCCCCTGGCCACGCTGCTCGGGGTGCAGCCCAGGAGAAGGTTGGTGAAGCAGGAGCTCGTTCCCAAAGCAGCGTGAAGGGTTGACGGGGATCGGGTGGATGGGTTTTCATCTCCCTGGGCTTCGCTGCAGGAACACGCGCGGCACCGGTGGCTTCCTGGGGGAAGGTCCGTTCCCCGCAGCGCCGGCACGCTGGACACTGCAGGTCACTGACCCTTCACGTTCTTCACCCACACCTTCTCCCTCCTTTTCTAGTGCTCGAGCTAGGCAGGTGTATTATGGGATGCAAAGCTGCTGCGTAGGGAGGGAGGAGGGAAGACTGTAGCTGGGCTCTCGAATTGAAAGGCTTAACCCGTGGAAACCTCCTGCTAGCAGAGAAGAGCAAGCCAGCCGTGGGGTGGATTTGCTCCTGGCTGCTGGAGGGCTGCGTGTCCTTTCAGCCCGGGAGCTGGCACAGAGCAGGTGCCGGGTCTGCTGGCTTTAAAAACAAAATTAAAATTTAAAAAAAAAACAAATAAATAAATAAATAAACAGATGCCGCTAGAGGGAGCAGACATTCCTGCTCAGTGGACGGTTTCCACCTGCATCTCTTGAGGTGACACAGCGGTCTTGTCCTTTCACCTCAACCAAACCATGGCAGCATCCCGCTCCAGTGAAAGCACGCTAAAGTCTCTTGACCCCCATGTCCTGGCAGGAAGAAAAATCACATCGCCTTGACGACCTTCCCCTCTGAGTAACTGCACTGGGCATGCTGAAAAGCCGGGGAAGCTTTGCTGAGACCTCAAGGTCACCGGGACCCGTTAAGGCAGAGGTTTCCAAGCATCAAGGAACCCTTGAGGATGGCGCCGCGGGGTCTGTCGCTGCCACGCATCCTGGCAGCCCTTGCCACGAGGGAGGTCCGCCCGCAAAAACAACTTTATTCCCAGAAGAAACGGGATGGTCTTCGCCGCAGCTGCCTCGGGGGAAAGGGGAGATGCTGTGGGTTGAAAGGGGAGACGTGGTTGAGCCTGGTAGGTGTGACGCCTCCGGCAGGGATGGGAAGCTGCAGGAACATTGGTTAAATCCGCGTGGGATGGGTGTGGAAGTGGGTAAAGGACAGGCTGGCGTGCGGGGGTGCCGTGGTGGGGTGTTTCCTCCACGGCTCTGGGGACGGCCCGCAGCTGGACGCCCAGAGGGGGTTTTATCCAGCTCCTATTTCTATAGCGAAGCACAGACGAAGGAGGAGGGCTTGCTTATGCTGATCTGCAGGAAAGCTTCCACGGATGCAGAGGTTTCATCTCCAGAAGTGGCTGATGCTTTCAGGCCCAGGACAGATAAGCCCAACATGAGCTGTGCAAATTAAAAATTGATTTTTGATTGCGGCGATAGCAGCTGCGAAGGGCAGAGCCAGTTCAGGCTTTTGTGCCTCGAGCTTCTCAGCATTCAGGGTATCTCTGCGTTTTACTTTTGGTTTCTGACCACGAGGAGCTTCCAAGCACAAGCTGAAAAAAAATACGTATTTTTACGCAATATGTTTTTTTTTCTGTCCCTGTGTGAGTCTTAAAACCTAGGAAAGCTGCTTCAGGCAAGGAGCGTTACAGCGCAGGTGAGCCAGGCTGAATATCTGAAGACATGAAAATTTCTGCAGAAGGAGGCAGTGAGTCCCACACCTCTATACCTGAGGCGTGGATAGAAAGCCACTCGGCAGAGGCCAGACGGTTGCTGGCTCTCAGTGAACCCGTGGACGAAGGCTTTTTTATTTTACCTTCATCTTTTCCTTGTAAGCATTAGAATGTATACCATCATGGATGCCCCGGGTGAGCAGAGGTGAAATTTTGACTGCTAGCCAGATCTTGAGCTGACGTGGTCTTTCACGACACCTCCAGCCCTGCTTGCGGTGACATCTGTGATGCTGTCTGCCCACCAAAGCGATGGCTTCGACCTGGTGGGTGTGGGAACGCGAGCCGTGGGAGGTGAGGGTCAAAGTGCTTTATTTCAGTCTTCCTCGATGACCAGCACCGCTGCAGCCCCTTCGCTGCAGGGATCATCGATTCATGGGCTGCTTTGGGTTGGGAGAGGCCGTCAGAGATCATCCAGTCCAACCCCCCCTGCAACGAGCAGGGACATCTTCACCGAGTGCGGAGCCGCGGACGAACGACACGCCGAGACGGGTTCAGTGTGGGTGATAGAGCATCAATCAACGTGGGTCTTTATTGGTCCAGGGTACATATATTTATACGGACAATGATAATTATTATGCCTACTAGTCACTAGCTGATTGGCTTAAGCTCTGAGGTTCGTATTTGCACAGTCCACCTACTTGCAGTTAGCTTACAGCACAAGCTTCTCACAACACTAAGTTTCTCATGCCACTATTTCTGATTCCTGTTGACTTGTTTTCGATACACGACAGTACCGTAACACAATGTTTCTCGGACCACCGTTACCATAACACTTGGTTTCTCAGACCACTATTCCTAATTCCCCTTAGCCTGTTTTCGACACACC